TGTTACCGTACCTTTTCCGTGACTCCCTGGCTTCCCGGTGAATTTCCAGGAGACTTGAGTCACCAATGAGGTCACCTAGTTGTCTCCAGACCAGTGCGATAGGGCCGAAAGCGAACGAGTGTCTGACACCTTGGATCCTTTCTGTTTTGCCCGCTAAAGCCACTCGTGTGATTCCATATCAGGATCTGCGCTCAAATTGGTTCCAAAGTTGCAAGTCGTTTTCACTTGGAAAATTGCCCATGTTGCCAGCGATGTCAGCTCACATTTTTAAGCAAAAACACATCTGAAAGTTGACGTGTTTTTCGATTTCTGGTGTTCCAGAATTTCATTAGAATTAAAAATGAGCCTAAAGGTCAGATTTTAAATTGAAAGCTGCCGCTGCCGCTTGCTGTGGTTGCGATTTGTTGTGATTTGGTCACATGCAGCCTGCGTCCATACAACCCGAATCACATTCAACTTGCCCACTGCTGGCCAGGAGGTGAATATCGATTCCGAGGATTTGCTGAATCGATATGAAAGGGGTGGGGTGGGGCAGTCATGCCATGCATTGATGAATTGACATCCACCCATTCCTAATTTGAACTGACCCAGAGAATATCGTCTTGTCATCGCATACGCAGGGAATCTGCTAACCTGTTTTCCAGGTTTGGTACTTGACAGTCAAGTTGTGACGTTCATTTGGGTCGACAGCAAAGGCTGATTTTGCCCAAAATGGCGGCCCCCTCAGACCTCCGATTGAGGGAACGATTCTCTTTCATTCTTTTCCATAAACACAATATTCATCAGAATACTGTGTTTTGACAAAAATATTCTTGCAAAAAAAAAAAAAAAGTGTGTGTGGGGAGGGGGGGTTACCTTCAACTATATTTCAAAATTTTCTGTGTAGCTGTTGATGATATAGCAAAGCTTCCCCTCTCTGTCACCAAAATGTTTGTGAGCGATGTCCAGGACATTGCATGCCGAGTCTATTCATGTGCATGTGGCTGAGGCACAAAACGACAAGAGGGTGGGGAGACGCTCTCCTTCATTCTCAGCGACTTCCCCTCCCTGTCGCAACCCTTGACAGTTGCACCATATTTTTATGGTTTCTTCTATAAAACCCTTCACAGGGCGGCGGCTTTCTGTCGTGACGCATCCGTAGATCAAATTGCTCACTGTGCGGGTGTGACTCGCCGACTGTGTGCAGCGCGCTTGGCGTTACCCTTCAAAAGGGACTTATCAATTATTTGATTTGGGGGGAGGGGAAATGACCTCTAAAGCAGGGGTGTCAAACTCATTTTTGTCATTGGCCACTTTGGGGTTGCGTCTTCCCTCGCAGGGCCGTTACGACAGTGAAACGAAATAAATGTTTATCTATTATTACTTGTACACAACAAATTGATAGATTACCAGTTTTGAAATCAGTCAAATCAACTATAATCAATTATTGTTTGAATGAGTGTTAACAGTTATTTTTTACACATGCCAATTTGACATTTCGGTACAGATTTTAGCAAGGATCATGGAAGTTGACACACATGATTTGCTTTTGCGGGCCACATAAAATGATGTGGCAGGCCGAATCTGGCCCCCGGCCCTTGAGTTTGACACCTGTGCTCTTAAGGCTAAACCGTCAGTTGTGATGTATGAGTTCAACATACTTCATTGACGCTAATTCCTATTTAGCGGGCCGCATCTTGTGGCAAATTTTTAGAAAGTGTAAAAGGAAAAAAAAACCCACACACACAAATAGGCGATTCTGCGCATTGTGAACTGTGAATACGCAGGGGATTACTGTAGTAGTTTTTTGTTTTTTTTTAATTATAATTTTTTAAGGCGTGTATACTGAACGGTGTACACAGAAAAAAAATGACAGCTATGCTCTCTGTTTTAAGAGCTCAGCATCCTCTCTGCAATTTTCTGCAGCAATGACACTTCCAGGCACGCACAGAAGGGGTCGGGAGGGGGCCAGTGTTGCCAAAAAGGACGTGAATGTGTTGTTCAGCGTCAAGTGACTTTGCCACCAGCCGATTGTCAAACATTTGCCAGTAAAAACAAAATGTTGTATATGGTTTTCTTTTCTCTCTCTCTCTCTCCTTTTTTTTATTGTATTTTAGCTTCTTAGACAAGTAGGTGATTGTCAACAGCTGATTGTATATCGTGACTGAGCGAGAAGAGGGCTCTCAAGCACGAGCACTTCATTGTACAAAAAAAAAAAAAAACGAAACAAAACACAAAAATCAAAAAAATCAGCCTGCCTATGCAACCAAGTGTGAATGATTTGTCATTAAACCCTTTGTTAGCCCCCTTTGACCTGCCGTGTCATTTTTACAGGTAACTCGCAACTGTATCGGAATAGATTTTGAAAGTATACCCTCCTAACCCTCCCTTGTATCCATCCAAATATATCCAGCCAGCACACACATCTATATGTATATGATAACTTCCGTTTTCCAAAGTTGTCACCAGCGAGCCTTTCAAAACAAAGTCAGGACCAGACAGCTCCAATCCATTCTTCTCGGCGTGTTTGTGAGAAGGAAATCCAAAATAACCTGTTGTCGGGGGGCAGCAGGCATGTGATCCTCCCCACGAGGGAAGGAGCTTGCTCCCGGCGTCCCGCTCTATCTGGCTGACAGTGAAGAGGGCGTGAGGCGACATGACGCGCAGACACGGGACGACGAGTCAAGCCTGTCCCAGTGGACAGGGGCGCTCAAGATAAACCAAGGCCCCGCTGCTATATCGAGCGCTGGCTCACATGCCGCTGTTGCCGTTTGAAGGACGCCCGCCTGCTCCCTGTGCGCTCGCTTTGATGCTTCCTCTAAATGAGGCCACAAATGAGGGCAGCGCAGATGAGATTTTTCTTTTTTGTTGTTGTTGTTGTTGTTGTCCTTGTGTGCCAGATGCTCATTGATGAGGGTTTTTGCCTCATCTTGACATTTTTGTTCTCTTCTCAGGTGAATTGGAAAGCTCCAGTTGCGCCATAACACGCAACTAGCCAAACATATCGAGGGTGTGGACAGATCTTTTGACGGGCGTGTGCTCAAACTTGAAAAGGGGGCACATGCCGTAGGGAGGGCTCGATACCCATTTTTCACATCTGATACCAATACTGCAGCCTCAGGCATCGTCCGATATCGATCCAATTCTTTCTTTTTTCGTCTACTCTGTAAGTGATTGATGATACAGTATACGTACAACTAACGATAACAGATTTTTACAGATTTATTTTCCCAGAAACTATCACGATCAGCAAAAGTGTTTTTTCTTATTTTTTCATGCGACTGAGTTAATGATGATGATACAGTTTTGTAAAAATAATTTAAGTTCATTCCTCTTAAATTAAAATGCAATGATGATGATCTCATAAAAAGAATTCAAGTATGTATGTCCTTTGTAAGTTAAAATATCTTTCACAGATTTTTGGAATGAAAACTAGATACCTAGGCCCAAAATGTATATTTCCCATGATTCTAAGGCACGAAAGCAGGAAGTAGTTGTGTGCGTGTGTGCGCGCGCACAATATTCAACTTTTAATTGTAACATTCCGACTTCAATTTTTGTCTTTCAGTTTTTTTCCATTATGTCCCAAATTGTTTTTCGTTGTGTTTTGCAAAATCACACGTGTAATGAAGTCAGTTTACCGCAGGGTGGGGCTGTAGGGTAGTTAGTATGCTGAGGTCTCAGCAGTCCCGTGAGTCGGTACACACGTGACTAATACTGTTCTGTACTGCTTTTACAAAAATAATAATGCGCTTCACACATATATATAAATATATATACATATATATTTTTTTAATTATTGATTTATGCTAAATACGATTAGAATCAAGTTGGTTTGTTCTTGTGCTTTTAAATTTCAGATTTGTATATCTTGCTTTCCTATATAGCTACGAGGTCATAGACCAACAATTTTCAAGAATACACCGTGTAATACAGACACGATATTAAAAAATATACAGATATATTCAAAGAGAGACTTATTTCTGACATTATTAGGGGGAAAAATAAACATTCAAACTTTTCCCAAAGGTTTCCAATTGGCCTAAAAATATATCAATATTTTTTTGTATCCACGGTTGTATTAATTATTGAACTCCTCCCTGACAGTTCCCATCACAAGTTTTATTATCTTTCTAAAAGCAGAAGTTTGTTTGTTTGACTGTACCTAATGAAGTGTCCAGTTTGCTTCCACCAAGTTCAAGTGCAACAAAAGTCCGACTTGGATCACCATGGAAATCGTCCTCAATGGTGGGATGAAGTCATCTAATCTTCATCTCATTTTCCAGAAGGTTCCTCTGCTTTCAGCTCAAATTGAATCTTGGGGGTGGAAGACTTAAAAGGCTTCTTGCTTTTCTCCATTCTGATGGATGAAGCTCTGCGGTGCACTTATTTAATCATCGGCCATTAAACGCCGTACGCCCCCCACCCCGTACCCCCATCGCCATCCGTTTCTGTCCACCGTGAATGAAAAAACATGGCTCAATAGTGGCACAGGTCCAGCTTTTAAAAGAGGTTGGGGTTGCTCTGTTGTCATAGCAACAGCGTGTGTGGACGGTGAGGGGAGGAGGAGCAGTCAGGTGGATGCG